CTTATTGAAGACCAAAGGTTAAGGCCTGAGCAGCGGTCTTGCGAAACAAAGCCAGGAGGCTTCAAGTACCTTTGTTTTCATATTTTGAACTGATGATGCAAACCCCTGTTAGGGCTACAGTTTGTTTTTGAAATTTTTCTTTTTTTCAATAAAAGTGAGCAAACAAGCCCTAAAACTAAAAGTATTTCTGGAATGGAGTGAACTCTCTGGAATAGCAGTACACTTGAGCTAACAACGTAGAAATATTTCCATATGTAAGATTATATAGCAGTGTGCAGAGGGTTAATTCAGACTCTTTAGTGTTAACATGTGGTTGAACCTGTGTGCTGTACTGTATATACTATATGGAGGCATTTTGAATTCGAGCACAGGGATATCTCCAATTTGTCATGTTCAGATATGCTCTAATATGACAGGGAAGACCTATCTAAGAGCCAAATAATTCACATAAAATGGAAAGCACATTTTCAGTTGCTCATCGGGTGTTTTCTGGGGGTTTAGTTTGAGCTGTATCACTTCTTTAACTTCTGGTTTTACGGGATGTGTATATAATGACACAGCTCCACAAGTAAATTCATTAAAAGGAAAGTATTCCGAACTCAGCTTTGCCAGCTTGACAGAGTATCTATCTCTGGGTTCAAAGTTTAAAGATAATGCACTTGGCTTGACGATACTCATACAGATTTAGTATTTAGTAAAGAAGACAAATTGCTGCAATTATTTGTTAAAATCCATTTTACTCCAGAGAAAGTGTGATATGCAGTTTTTATTCTTAATGTGTTGCCGCTGAAGGAAATCAGAAACTGTGCAAGGGAATTGTTTGGAATATAAAGAGGATTTAATGAATATTTTATTCAGACCTATTCAAAGTATAACACAATGATTTTTCAAGTCAACTCATGCTTATTTATCAATTAGGCAGTCTACAAGATTTATATATTCGACTGCTTTTTTTAAAGGTTAGCACAATCATATTTTCACACCTATATGGTGCAAGGCAGAGGTGTTTGGCCCTTCCCTCTCTCTGACCACCACCTCCTCACGTTCTCCATCTCCCCTTCCCCTAACTCCCCCCCCCCAGTGCGCCAAACCATCACCAGCTGCAACCTCCGCAAACCTTCACCCGGCCCCCCTCTACTCGGCTGCCGAACCGCTTACACGACAGCATCCTTCCACTGTCATGTCCTGACCTAGCCACCACCACGTACAACGACTCACTATCAGCTACCCTAGACTCTCTGGCACCCCTAACCACACACAATATCAAACCCAGACCGCTCCAACCATGGCAGAACGACCATACTAAATGCCTCAAACGTCGCAGTCGTGCGCTGGAGAGACTATGGCGCAAAACCAGGTCCCCTCATGCATTCTCCCTCTACAAATCTGCCTTCCTCACCTACACCTCCTCCCTCCACGCTGCCAAGCAGGCCTACTTCGTTAACCTGATCAACACCCTCTCCACCTGCCCTCGCCGACTCTTCTCCACCTTCAACTCCCTGCTCTCTCTCCCCCCCCTCCTCCACTCAGTACCTCACTTACCGCCCACGAGATTGCCACTCATCTCCACAACAAGATTGACGCAATCCGCAAGGACATAGTCAACTTGCAATCTACCTCCCCATCTAGCCTCCCCCCTTCCATCGCCCCCTCATCTCTCCCCTCCTCTGACCTCGCAACGGCACTGCCCCCCACCACACCCAAGGCCCTGCCTACCGTAACCCCCCCATCACTGCACTCCTTCAGCCCTACTACCACTGAGGAAGTCACCAGAGTCTTCTCAGAAGCCCGCCTCACTACCTGCCCCCTGGACCCTATCCCCTCTCAACTCCTCTGGTCACCCCCCTCTTCCCTCATCCGCTCCCTTACCCACATCTTCAATCTCTCCCTCTCTACTGGCGTCTTCCCCTCCCCCCTAAAACATACGCACATCACCCCCATACTCAAAAAGCCCTCCCTGGACCCCACTGACCTCAACAACCTCAGACCAATTTCCCTGCTGCCACTCACTTCCAAGCTCCTTGAGCGCTTGGTCTTCGATCGCCTAAGCGCCCACCTAACTGACAGCAACCTCCTTGACCCACTACAATCCGGCTTCCGTCCCCTACACTCCACCGAAACTGCCCTCCTCAAAATCACCAATGATCTACTAACTGCCAAAGCCAAAGGTGACTACTCTGTCCTCCTTTTCCTAGACCTCTCCACGGCCTTTGACACAGTCGACCACCTCCTCCTCCTTAATAAACTACTCTCCCTTGGCATCAGAGACACCGCTCTCTCTTGGTTCTCGTCCTATCTATCCCAACGCTCCTTCAGCGTTTCCTACAACGATGCCACCTCCTCTTCCCTCCCCCTCTCTGTTGGGGTCCCCCAGGGCTCTGTCCTTGGACCACTTCTCTTCTCCATCTACACCTCCTCCCTTGGAAAACTCATACACTCCCACGGCTTCAATTACCACCTCTACGCTGATGATACTCAAATCTACCTATCCACCCCTCGCCTCACCCCCACATTCTCCGCCCGCATCACTCACCTCCTAAACGACATCTCTGACTGGATGTCGCTCCATTTCCTCAAGCTCAACCTCTTCAAAACCGAGCTTCTCGTCTTCCCCCCAGCCCACGCCCCCCCCCCATCCTTTCCATCACTACCAACAACACCACCATCAATCCCGCCCAGAAAAGCCAAGGTCCTTGGCGTCATTCTGGACTCAAACCTTTCCTTTCAACCTCATATCAAATCACTTACAAACACATGCAGGCTCCACCTCCGGAACATCGCCAAGATACGCTCCTTCCTTACCCCAGACACCACTAAACTACTCGTACACTCCCTGATTATCTCACGCCTTGACTACTGCAACTCCCTCCTCACCGGCCTACCCCAGTGCAAACTCTCCCCGCTTCAGACCATCCTGAACTCAGCTGCCAGACTCATCCACCTCACCAGCCGCTCCACCTCTGACACCCCCCTCTGCCTCTCCCTCCACTGGCTCCCCATTGCCCAACGCATTAAATTCAAATTGCTCACTCTGACCTATAAGGCCATTCACAACACTGCCCCTAACTACCTCACCGACCTGATTCCCAGGTACCACACCCTACCCGTAACCTTCGCTCTTCACAGGACCTCCTTCTATCTTGCTCCCTGGTCTCCTCCTCCCACGCACGACTGCAAGACTTCTCCAGGTCCTCCCCCATCCTCTGTAACTCACTACCCCAATCCATCAGACTGTCACCTTCCCTCCTCACCTTCAGGCGCTCCCTGAAAACCCACCTCTTCAGGGAAGCCTACCCCACCCTCACCTAACAGCCGCTGCCCTTCCCTCCTCCTTCCACTCCATCCCCCATAGCCATTTCCTCCTGTACCTCTACCCCCTCCCTCCTAGATTGTAAGCTCGAAAGAGTAGGGCCCTCTTACCCCTTGTGTGCTGTTTGATGTTACTGTACTGTTTCATGTATTGTCCCCCCCTCTATTGTACAGCGCTGAGCAAACCCTTTGGCGCTATATAAACTCGATAAATAAATAAATAAATTTAAGTTTCAACTGCTATGGCATTTAACTAATAGCTGCATCATACTAATGGCATCTATTAGACATTAGATGATCATACAGCTTCACTCTCACTGGCACAATGAAAGCTGCTCATAGTCTTAAAGTGTATGTCAGGGCAAAAATGAAAAAAATGCATCACATCTATGCAATACATGCACAGTTGCCCATGTTTATGTCTTTACAGACTTTACAAGTAAGCAAATACCTGTTTATATTTAAGAAATGCACTCAGCTAAATGCACTAAAGTCCTATTGTGTACACATTTTTGTGGACTGAGTTGCTGGGTATTCTTTTGTTAAACTAACTCCACAACATAGAGACTAATCATTTTGTAGTCCCATAATAACAGTTAATAGTGGTCATTAGGCTGGCCATACACTAGAAGAATTTTGTGTGAGTATAGCCTGCGCAGAGGACTAATCAGTTAGACTGGCTGCTGCTAGCAAAATCACAAATGTGTACCGATGAACAAATATGTGAGTGCAAACATAACAATTGCTGCGCTGCCTCTCCCAAAAACGACTTTAAATAATTAAAAAAATGAATGAATGAACTCCATACTATACAAAGGGTTCCCACAAATGTGCTATAATGCCCCGTGGGCTGGCAATTATGTGCCTCTTCCCCAGTGACTAAATCCCAAATAAACCAATAAGTAAGTACAAGGTGCTTAACCACCTCCCCCGCCCGCCATATAGTAATATGACGGACGCAAGGTGTTTCTCTCGTTCTGGGAGGATGTCATATGACGTCCTCCCATTCTCACCATGCATGCGTGGCTCCCGGAGCGCGCAGCGTGGCGATTGGCAGTGAGCTGTGTCCCTCGGACACAGCGGATAACTGATCACGGAAAGAGCCGAAGATGTCAGCTCGGTCATGTGATCAGCTGTGTCCAATCACAGCTGAATACATGTAAACAGGGAAATGCCGGTTATCAGCATTTCTCTCCTCTCGAGCTGTCATGCTGACAGCACGTGAGGAGAGGTGAGCCGGCAATCGGCTTTCCACAGAGGGGATATGTACACTGATCATCAGGGCACTGATGATCAGTGTGCCCTGATGATCAGTGTAGCCCCAGCAGTGCCACCTGTCAGTGTCCAACAGTGCCTTGTGTCAGTGCTCATCAGTGCCTCGTGCCAGTGCCCATCAGTGCCTCATCAATGCCACATATCAGTGCCTACCAGTGCACATCAATGCCACATATCAGTGCCCATCTGAGCTGCCTTTCAGTGTCACCCATCAGTGCTAGTCAGTGCCACCTATCAATGCCAATCAGTGCCACCTATCAGTGCTGCCAATCAGTGCCGCCTATCAGTGCACATCAGTGCCGCCTATCAGTGCCTGTCAGTGCCACCTATCAGTGCCATGTATCAGTGCTGCCTTTCAGTGCCCATCAGTGATGCCTGTCAATGCCCATTAGTGCCACCTACCAGTGCCTCCTCATCAGTGCCCATCAGTGCCACCTATCAGTGTCCATCAGTGCAGCCTATCAGTGCCCATCACTGCAGCCTCATTAGCGCACATCAGTGAAGGAGAAAAATCACTTATTTACAAAATTTTATAACAAAAACTAAGAAAAACTTTTTTTTTTCAAAATTTTCAGTGGTTTTTGGTTTGTTTAAGAAAAAATAAAAAACCCAGAGGTGATTAAATACCACCAAAATAAAGCTCTATCTGTCACAAACAAATGATAAAAATTTCATATGGGTACAGTGTTGCATGACCGCGCAATTGTCATTCAAAGTGCGACAGCGCTGAAAGCTGGAAATTGGCCTGGGCAGGAAGGGGGTATAAGTGCCCTGTAGGCTAGTGGTTAAATGTCATGAAACTGTGTATACAGTGAAAGTGTATAAAACTATATATATATATATATATATATATATATATATATATATATATATATATATATTAAAGTCCCAATAATTGTGCATATAAAAGTTCACAAAAAATTTAAAGTTCCAAAAAAAAACCCAAAGAAACCCCCATCCGCATCTGGTGTGAATATTAAGTGATACAGTAGTAAATCTTCTTATCCATAGCAATTCTCTGTGTGAAGTACTCCGATTAGTGTTCCCCCTCCAGAGCCCCACTCACCACAGATAATTGACCACCTGGAATGGTAGGTCAAATATCGCATGAGATGTTGCAGTGCTCTCCTGCAGGAAAGTTGGCAGTCTGTGTGGTCTTTACATGCTGATGATAAACTCCATAGTGGAAACACATATAGATCAATCGTTTGTGACAAAACTCCTCCAGAACCTCCACAGTACTCCTCCACCACCACTCCTGATGACGTCATACAACGAAAAATGTAGAGCTTGATATCGCTACACTTGTCCTCTGAGAAGGAATTGCTTTTTGCTGGAATTTAATGTACCATACACATGGTTTTCATGTAAGTGCAATTTTAAATGTCTTTTACCTAATAAATACGATGTTACTCTATGGAAGTTTCCCTTTGATGTTTTTTCCGGTGATGGAGGAGTACTGTGAAGGTTCTGGAGGAGTTTTGTCGCATAAGGTGTTTCCACTATGGAGTCTGTCATCAGCATAAAGAGGTGTCAAGACCACACAGACGGCCAGCTTTCCTGCAGGAGAGCGCTGCAACATACTATTCGATATTTGACCTACCATTCCAGGTGGTCAATTATCTGTGGTGAGTGGGGCTCTGGAGGGGGATTAATTGGAGCACTACGCACAGAGAATTGCTATGGATAAGAAAATTTACTACTGTATCACTTAATATTCACACCAGATGCGGATGGGGGTTTCTTTGGGTTTTCTTTGGAACTTTAACAATTGAGTACTGTCCGTGATACTTTTTTTATTTGCACTAACATACAATTTTGAGGACAAGCTTTCGGGGTATGTCCCCTTCTTCAAGGTCCAAGCAGTACTATACAAATCACAAAGTTTTAGCAGAATGTTAGAAGAGATGAAAAAAAAAAAAAGAGGCAAGAGATAAGACACAGCAAAAGCAAAAGGGGGGGGAGGAAAGACAGCACTCACTCACTCACACAGAGGAAGTCAAACTTGAGCTGATAGTCATAAAACTGTTGGATAATGATTGAGGAATCCCATGTCCAAATTCAGTCCATTATCTCTTGTGTCAAATAGAATTATCATTCTTAGTTCAAAAGTTTTTCTTTCCTGAATGGATTTGAAATTTCCTTTAAGAACTAAAATATTGAGGTCTCCCACTTTTTCAAAATTGTATGTTAGTGCAAATAAAAAAAGTATCACGGACAGTACTCAATTGTTTCTGTCGCAAATGCACTAATACGGCTACAATCACCTCAAGCTTTGGAACTTTCAAATTCTTTGGAACTTTTATATGTTTGCACAATTATTGGGACTTATATATATATATATATATACTGTATATATATATATACATATATATTGTTTTATACAATTTCACTGTATACACAGTTTCATGGCATTGTATATGTGCTATTTTTAGCACTATTGTCATTTAAGCACCTTGTATTTACTTATTTGTTTATTTGGGATTTAGTCACTGGGGAGGAGGGATATAATTGCCAGCCCATGGGGCATTATAGCACATGCACATTTGTGGGGACCATTTGTGTAGTAGGGAGTTCATTCATTTATTTAATTAATTATTTAAAGTAGTTTTTGGGAAAGGCAACGCAGCAATTTTTATGTTTGCACTAGAAGAATTTTGTTTGCCATTTTTCATTTTTAAGAATATTCATTTGACTTTTTTAATGGTTAGTGCAAGACAGCTCTGAATTTTCAACATGATCTATTTTTTGCTCTTGTCAAACTGATAAAACTGAAACACTTTAGGGGATATATGTTAAAGACCAAAAGATAGCAAAAAAGAGAAGTTAATTGTTGGGGTATAAATACATTTTATGACTCCATGCACACCAGTGTTTCTTTTAAGAGAAAAGAACACTGGATAAAAAATGCTGGTAATTGAGTTTTTTAGTAGCGTTTTAGCAGCATTTAGGAGCATTTAGAGTTTTTTTCTGCTGAAAAAAACTCTAAAAAAAAATCTACAAAAACATTTTTTTTCTGCTCCTAGTTGCTGAAGCTCAAAAAATGCTAATAGCCTAAAATAGTGTGCATGGACACATAGGGTAACACTATATAGCTTTCAAGAGCAGAAATAAATATGCTGATAATAGCTTCTGTGCACGCTAGTGTGCATGGAGCCTATATTTGTACCTGAATATACGATCTGGCCTCCCTTAGAATAAAGAGAGAGAGGAGAGGGCTAACATGGATGGTCAATTAAGATTACCTTGCCTTCTGCCATATGAAGAGGTATGAACACAGCTCTAATTCTGCCTTTCTTTCTGCAAAGGAGCAATAGATCATTTCAAATTTTACATAATCTGCTCAATCAATCATATCTCCTGTAAAAGAGTGACTGTCATGAGATGGTCTATTGATAAATCCACAAATGGCTGAATTAGGAGATGCTCATTTCATGTCTATGGGTACCCTAACCAAGGATTAGGATGATCCTGGCTGCCTTCTCTTGCACCCATAAAAATGGCATTCTGAGAAAGTCTATCAAGTATAACTTTGTCCAAAATAAAAAAAAATACATCTCTCCTTTACTAAAATCACAGAACACATTGCATTCTATGAAAAGTATACAAGACTTTTTCTGAATGGAAGTGGTTCTAAGTGAGCATCCTGCACAGGAAGTTCAGTGCTTACTGTACTGCTGTGGGTGTTGCTGCATGAAAGTAAAAGTTCTCCCTAATGCGGTAACACCCACACATGTCACACCAGGGGCGGACTGACCATTTGGAAACTCGGGCACTGCCCGAGGGCCCAGTGTCAGTAGGGGGCACCATGAGATGCCCCTGGTACCTTTTTCATAGGGCTTTTTTGAGTTTGGGCAAGGACACAGGGGCCCCATGATCCCCTATTGCCCGGGGGCCCCATGAGTTGTCAGTCCGCCCCTGTGTCACACACTTCCTTAGCGGTAATTTATTTTTACAAGGCAAAGGATCAAAAAATTTTTTTGGCCAGATTTCAGCTTCAAAGAGCCATTGCATAAAAGACAAAACAAGTTAAAGCCCAACTCTAGCTAACACTTTTTAAGCATATTGTCTGCATACATGTTATGGTTTATTGACTCAAAAGACAAGTTTACTTTAGAATGTGTTTGAAAAGATGGTGCATTTAAAAATTGTACCATCTTCCTCTTAGATCAGTGGTTCTCAACCTTTCTAATGCCGCGACCCCTTAATACAGTTCCTCATGTTGTGGTGACCCCCAACCATAAAATTATTTTCGTTGCTACTTCATAACTGTAATTTTGCAGTGGGAGGACTAGCGCCCCATCACTGATGTCAGTGGGATGAATAGTGTCCCATCGTTGGTATCAGTGGGAGGAATAGTGTCCCATCATTGGTGTCAGTGGGAGGAATAGTGCCCCATCATTGGTGTCAGTGGGAGGAATAGTGCCCCATCATTGGTGTCAGTGGGAGGAATAGTGCTCCATCATTGGTGTCAGTGGGAGGAATAGTGCCCAATCATTGGCGTCAGTGGGAGGAATAGTGCCCAATCATTGGCGTCAGTGGGAGGAATAGTGCCTCATCATTGGCGTCAGTGGGAGGAATAGTGCCCCATCATTGGCGTCAGTGGGAGGAATAGTGTCCCATCATTGGTGTCAGTGGGAGGAATAGTGTCCCATCATTGGTGTCAGTGGGAGGAATAGTGTCCCATCATTGGTGTAAGTGGGAGGAATAGTGTCCCATCATTGGTGTCAGTGGGGGGAATAGTGCCCCATCATTGGTATCAGTGGGGGGAATAGTGCCCCATCATTGGTATCAGTGGGAGGAATAGTGCCCCATCATTGGTATGAGTGGGAGGAATAGTACCCCATCATTGGTATCAGTGGGAGGAATAGTGCCCCATCATTGGTGTCAGTGGGAGGAATAGTGCCCCATCATTAGTATCAGTGGGTGGAATAGTGCCCCATCATTGGTGTAAGTGGAAGGAATAGTGCCCCATCATTGGTATGAGTGGGAGGAATAGTGCCCCATCATTGGTATCAGTGGGAGGAATAGTGCCCCATCATTGGTATCAGTGGGAGGAATAGTGCCCCATCATTGGTATGAGTGGGAGGAATAGTGCCCCATCATTGGTGTCAGTGGGAGGAATAGTGCCCCATCATTGGTGTCAGTGGGAGGAATAGTGCCCCATCATTGGTGTCAGTGGGAGGAATAGTGCCCCATCATTAGTATCAGTGGGAGGAATAGTGCCCCATCATTGGTGTCAGTGGAAGGAATAGTGCCCCATCATTGGTATCAGTGGGAGGAATAGTGCCCCATCATTGGTATCAGTGGGAGGAATAGTGCCCCATCATTGGTATCAGTGGGAGGAATAGTGCCCCATCATTGGTGTCAGTGGAAGGAATAGTGCCCCATCATTGGTATGAGTGGGAGGAATAGTGCCCCATCATTGGTGTCAGTGGAAGGAATAGTGCCCCATCATTGGTATGAGTGGGAGGAATAGTGCCCCATCATTGGTAT